TGCTCGTAAATATTATAATTAAAAATCAATTAGTGTTGAGTAATAATGGGGACAATAATCTGCAAAATAGGCTCAAAACTAAGTGTTCATACATTTCCTCAAAGACATCGACACTTCTGAACATATTATTTACACTTTTATCTCAATATTAGACTAAAATAAGTTTCGATTAAATCAATTGACGGAAATGCACCCTGGTATTATGTTCATTTTCTAAAAATCTTATTTAATAACTATTATTATGCATATAAGCTAATATCGCCGATGTATGTAATTATCACTAAATATAATGATGGTAAAATAATTTTTCTAAAATATCAACTCATATGCCATTTGTTTGCCAGTTCTTTGACTGATCGGACATTTGTTTAGCAAATATTATGAATATCTAATAAAAGTTAATTCAATCAAAAATTAATTAAAAACTGATTAACAGGTAAAATGTGGAAATAAATCGATAATAAGTTGTGTATAGATTTGTGCCATAAATGTATGAATGAATGCATTGCTATTCATATGACATGTATGCCATCATATGATTGACAACCATATGAACAATTGGTGTTCAATTGGATGAGGGATTAGTGGATGAAGTGATGGTTTGGGATGTAGTGAGACATGAATGAGAGTGCAAATGAGTGGCTATTAGACAGAGTTTGGATGTATTGCGATATGAATGGAGTGGTGGTTAGGCCTAACTCTAAGCACAGGGAGAATCTATGTGTTGGGTATGGGTTGGGGAGCAGTATATGAGCGCTCATTACCAGACACTGAGGACCACAACCAAAATGTTGGGCACAGGGAGGCACCTCGCACCTCCACCCTCGCTATATGGGCTCATTGGGGCACAAATATGCAATGAATGGTCATGTCTTACCTGTGATTGTCAGTCAATATTCACATGAATGTCATAATCGACACAATTATATAATATGAGAGCAAACAGTGTTAGAGTAGTGTCTCGCGTAAGGCGAGTCTCCCCTCTCTGTCGAGAATATGGTGGACTCATAGCATAGATAAGCATAGATAGGCGCTCACAGCACCTATACGAAAGGCATAGGCACTACAGTACTGTCAATAGCAATGCACTTTTCGCACAGCCTGTCTCAGCTCAGTTCATTCAGCACAGCCAATACATACACAACCAGTGATCCATAGTCTACCTACCCTTCAATGCCATGTCTGAGAGCAGTCACTTGTGTTTTGCCATACATTTAACTCTTGTTAGAAACTTTCACAATTAGATCCAATGTCTGTTTACTTCGCCACACAATCACCCAATCATATAAAAATACAATAGTTTTAACGATAATTACATAAATAACACATTCACAGCAATTGTTTAAAAAACTTTTATTTTTATGCTTAAATCAATTTTCAAGTCAATTCTTTATGTCCAGAATTCATTTGTTTTGTGAATACAGTCTAAATGTTCACAATCAATTAATCAATTATTATTCAAATATTATTAACAAATTATTACATAATTTATTTGATTATTAATTTGACACAAAATCAAAAATAATACAAGACTTAACGCGATTAGGATTAAGTCCGAAAATGAATTTATGGTATTTTGTAATGAATTGGGAAATAAAAAATAAAATTATAATATACTGTATATAAAATAAAACAATAGAGTGAGTGATAAATAGGTTGTTTTGCGTATGAGTATTGACTTAATTATAGTTTATATGATTTTAAATGATTTGATAACAGAATTTAGTCAATGATTGCTTAAATAGGATTTAAGTTTAAGTCTAAATTTCACACTTTATTGCCGTCGGGTTTACGAGTTTGAGTGAAAACAAAAAATTAATATTCTTTAAAGTCTGCAATTGTTTTGCGTATAAATGCAAGAGAAGTGTGAATCAATTGATTGATATTAAGTTAATGTTATTTTTATCGACTCTTATATACATTGAAAATAATGGCTTTTATATTGACTATAACTTAATGTTTCGAAATTAAAGGCATTCCGAGCCCTCATTTGGTTGATTCGCTTTGAGAGAGACCTTGTATTGCATTAGCTATCGATTGGGGCCAAAACCGTTGCATAGAATTACTTGTCTTCAACTTCTTGGAGGCAGAACTCTTGGCCGCACTCTTGGATGTGCTCTGACTGGAGTTGCTCTGAGTGTCGCCCATCGAGTTGGCCGTGTCTAACATGGGCTGAAGTATCCTCCGGCGCGCGTTTATGAACCAATTGTTCACCTGAAGTAATGTGAGATTCGTTTGCGACGCTATCGCCCGCTTCTCGTCCTCCGTCGGGTACGGGTGCTGTCAAGCAATGCATGCACTCATTAGCACACAATCTAAGTGCAAAATAACTAATAATTACCACAATGTGTTGGAAGAGCCAGGACCTCATGATAGAAGTGGCCTGTTTTGGCAACACACCCCTCTTCTGCTGCTTCTTTTTGCTGCCATTGCTGTGATTGGATCCCAAGTCGTCGCTCATGTCGTCATCATTACTACTATCTCCTCGATTCATATGATGTGACTTATGGTTTAGATTAGTATTGTGTTTATTGTTTGAATTCTTATGATTTGTGCCGATTTGTGAGATGGGAGTCGAGCCATGAATTTGCTGCTGACTTGAGTTCATTTGAATGGGTTGTGCGACTAATCCCTGTGCCGTCTGAACCATTTGGTACACTGTCTGAGGCGTTGGATTTGAGGCGAATGTTGTGGTCGATGGGGAGGTCAGAGGGAAGTCATCGGACTCTGCGTCCGAAGAACATGAGGAGCCATCGAATAATGAATTGGCACTCGAATCGTTGCCGGAGTTGACCCCCACACAGGAGGTGCCCCTCAATANTAATTATTTTCAATATTATTCAAATATAAATATTGTAAATATTGTTTGAAAATCAAAATTATTATTGTAATTAATTTTATTTGATTAAAAATTAGTAAAAGTTAATCAAAATCATGTGTTTAGGGAAACTTTCCCAAAATGGATGAAAAGAATTCTTTAAATCTTTAAAACAAAAATATCAAAAACTGAGCTGGATTGAAAATTAAACTTGCTAAACATTTCAGAAGTTTATTCTTGATTAGTCATATATTCAATTTAGTGATAAAATTAGAGTAACAATTTAATAAGTGTGATATAAATTAATATTTACTATTATTTATGCCTATTTGTAAAAATACACGAATAATACACTATATACATGGAATAATACATGTATAATACATGAACGAAAAAATATCATGTATTATATCCACCCTAGTGCCTATGCCTTTCGTATAGGTGCTGTGAGCGCCTATCTATGCTTATCTATGCTGTGAGTCCACCATATTCTCGACAGAGAGGGGAGACTCGCCTTACGCGAGACACTACTCTAACACTGTTTGCTCTCATATTATATAATTGTGTCGATTATGACATTCATGTGAATATTGACTGACAATC